ATATATATATATATATATATATATATATATATATATATATATATATATATATATATATATATATATATATATATATATATATATATATTGTATAAATAAATGTTTAAATAAATATATAGTTTGTTATCTAGGAGTTGTTATAAGTATATTAAATAACAAAATAAAGAAAATAAACAGCATAATATAATTTTTTAGAATTTTTATTTTATAATAGCATATGATTTTACTTGAATTTTTTTGTTTTATGATAATTGTTTACTAATATGCTTATTTTTTGTGCTGTATATTATATATTTTTATGTACAGTTTAAATTATCATCAAGCTTATTGGTTAATCAGTTTTTCTTTTTTTCTTTTTCTTAAAGCAATTAGTATAAACATGCAGTAAATATGTAAATTTGTTGTGTTTTATGTTATATAGTAGTCAACATTGGAAGTCCAACTTTCCCTAATTTATACCAAAAAGTAAACCCTTTCATGGGGTTTCCCTAATTTTAAAGTTTTATAAACGAGAATCAAACATTAGGTCAGCATAATCCTCACCATTTCCAAAAAACAGCACAGAAAAAAAAAATCGCTCTCTCCTCTTACCGAAAGCCCTAGGAGCAGAGAAACGTCTGAAACAGAGAAAAGAGCGCTGTGCTGTGTTAAGCAGCTGTTCGTCTGACTCATCTCCTCTATTGACGAAAAAAGAAGCTGTCTAGCCGGCCATTATGAAAGAGACCAAGCGGGGATAACCAGTGTTAATATTTATTATATTCATCTATTATTCCAAAGCGTGTGAAGTTAGTCAATGGAAAACACACTCGGCCTCCAGTTTCATCCGTTTCAAGGCTTTGTTTTTCCTTCAGTTCCCATTTGGAACGGAACACCATCCAAGTGGTTTGTAATTGTAACGCGGCTCTTCTTCTTCTTCTTGTCTTTTTTTTGTGCGCAGGGCGAAGCCAGCGAGCGAAACTGAGCGTGAAGATGTCCAGAAACTGCTGGCACTGTGGAGGACTTGGCAGGTGAGCGCACAGGAACAGGTTGTGAGGAACAGGCTTTGGCTGATTTGAGATCAGGCACCGTTCCCTGTCTGAGAACAGATCTTATGTGGCGTGCAGAAGCTGATTCAGGAGCTGTCTCGTTGGAGAGGAAGACGGATGAGATCAGACATGATTTATTTACTGTTACAATCCATCAGACCTTTATATTTTTCTTCCTTTTCACATTTATTTTATTTATTTCTGGAAGTGGGATATTTGATCATGTTCAGATGTGTCTGGAATGGAGATAGTTTAGGGGGTGGGGCTTCTGATACTACAGAATTTGATTGGTCGGTAGCTCTAATGAAAAAAAGTAAGTGCTGAGGGATGTCATCAGATTCACTGAGTAATTAAATTATATATTTTAGTATATTTAGTTTTGTTTTTATTCCAAGAAGTGGGATATTTAACCACATTTAACTGTGTCTGGAATCCAGATAATTTAGGAGGTGGGGCTTCTGATATAAGAAAGCATTTGATTAGTGGGAAGCTCTGATGAAATGCTGATGTCATCAGATTCACTGATCCGGGTTGGCAGAATGAATTTTATAAATGTATTTTATTATCGTAATTATATATTTTATAGTTTTGGAGTGGGGCTTCTGATACTTGATTGGTCGGAAGCACTATTGAAAAGCTGAAGTAGTGAGTTTTGTGATCAGACTCACTGAACCATGGTGGCCGAATAATTTTTATTTTTTATTTTTTATTTTATTTTATTTTATTTTATTTTATTTTATTTTATTTTATTTTATTTTATTTTATTTCATTTCATTTCATTTCATTTCATTTCATTTCATTTCATTTCATTTCATTTCATTTTATTTCCAAGAAGTAGGATTTTTCACTACATTTAACTGTCTGTAATGCAGATAGTTTAATAGGCGGGGCTTCTGATACTAGAGAGCTGTCGATTGGTCAAAAGCTCTAATGAAAAGCTGAAGTAGTGAGTTTTGTCATCAGATTCACTGTTCCATGCTGGCCGAATATTTAAAAGTATATGTTTTTAATTTATTTTATTTTATTTTATTCTATTTTATTTTATTTTATTTTGTTCATTCATTTTCTTTTCAGCTTAGTCCCTTTATTAATCAGGGGTCGCCACAGCGAAATTAACCATCAACTTATCCAGCTTATGTTTTACGCAGTGGATGCCCTTCCAACTGCAACCCATCTCTGGGAAACATCCATACACACTCATTCACACACACACTACGGACAGTTTTAGCCTACCCAATTCACCTGTCCCGCATGTGTTTGCACTGTGGGGGAAACTGGAGCACCTTGATGGAAACCCATACGAACACAGGGATAGGCACATGCACACATAGGGCTCAACCTGTGCAGTGCACCTGCCCTTTTTAGTCTTGGATAGAAAATGCCCTTCCAAAATGATCCGAAGTGCCCAAGTTTGCATGTTGTGTATTTTTTATAGTGTTTGGTGCGGGGCTTTTGATACTAGAGCTCATTTGATTGGTTGGAAGATCTGACGAGAAACTTAAAGTTCAAATTAGGGTTTTTTATTTATTCTTGTATATATTTTTGTCTTTATTATTATCTTTAAATGTGTATCACAACATTATATTTTGTGTGTAAATTTTTTTGGAGTGAAGCTTGCGTTACTAGAAAGCATTGTATTGGTGAGAAGTTCTGATAAAAAGCTGAGTGATGTCAGCAGATTTACTATTCCCCATGGGTGGAATTGAGAGACTGTGTGTTTTAAATGTGCATGTCTTTTATAGTGTATGGGGCGGGGCTTTTTATTAGAGAGCACATGATTGGTTTGAAAATCTGATGAGAACCTAAAATCCATAAAAACCATTGATGCCTTTAGGAAGAAACTAAAGACTTTTGAGTACCTTTATCTTTTAAATAGTATCTAGCTATTTTGGAGTATATTCATTAAGCTTAAACCTAACATATTAAGTTTAGTTTAAAAAAAAAAAAAAAACTATTGCCAAACTTTTATTATGTTGCTTTAAATAACACTCCGTATTTAGACAGGCCTTTTAAAGCCTTGCTTCATAAAAATTTGATTTAAAAAAAAAAAAAAAATGTTTAGTTCTCCACCCAACCTCGTTCTTGTTTAACCAGTCGTGTGCTGAAAATCCCCGAAAACAGACTCGTTATGACTGTAGTTTATTAAAATGTGTCATTTTCACCGCCATCATTTCTGAACGTAATCAGCAGTGAAATTGCTTGTATGATGTGGAATTGTTTTTGTGAAATATTTATGCAGATTTTCAGATGCAATCGTTTGTGGGGCTTGCAGAACAGCAAATCAACAGGATGTGGGGGAAGAAGAAAAGTTTGGAAATAATTTTGAAAACACGCTCAGCTAAAGTGTTGAGATTTCTTGTAATGGCACGTTTACTATTGCAGCTTTGCAGCAATAACACATATTATCCTTCAGACGTATGTATGTATATGTATATTGTCAGAAATTATATGGACAATATTATATGTTATATATTTCTTTAAAAATTTTGATGACAATATATATTTAGTTTAGAGTCAGTACTTGATTGATATAATTATTGAATGAATGATAAAGCAGATAATTAAAAAAATATATCAATGCACTAAACACATTTTAAATGTTAGAACATTTTGTACAAATATTATTATTATTATTATCATTATTATTATTATTATTATTATATTGAGTCAGTCAATTAGTGTAATGATTTGTCAGATTACATGTCAGTATAACTGCCAGCAAATTCATTTAATTTTGACTTTCACTGTCATTTGTAAAATTTTATAGTGACCAAAAACTATTTTTACAGGATATTAGTATCTCAGAATAAAATAAAATAAAATAAAATAAAATAAAATAAAACCAACAAAAGCAAAAACACTATATAGTAATTTATAAATAATTAAAACCAAATATCAGAATTTAACAATACTATACTTTTCCTTTA